GGTGAACAAGACTGAGTAAGCCTTCGTTCTCATAGAGCTCACATTTTGGAGCAGGGCTTCTCAGCCTCAGCACTGTGGACATCTGGGACCCAGTAATTGTGAGAAAACTGCCCTGGATATTATAGAATGCTTAACAGCATCCCTCCCTTCCCACTAGGTGCTAGCAGCATTCCCCATCTTTGTCACTGTGACAAGCAAAAATGTTTCCAGATATTGCCAGTTATCCCCTGGCTGACCCCAGTTGTCTCCCCCAGCTGAGAACCATTGTTTAGAAATGAAATGGGATGAAGTGAAGGGGTTTGATGTGTCATCTGAGACACTGGGGCTCTCTGAAGATAGTTCAGAGGGAGAATCTAGGGCTGGATTGTGGTTCAGCATGTGTGAGGCCCTGGGTTCAACCCCCCAGTGCTGCAAACCTTGGAGGCAGGATCAATAGTTTCAACCTCTTCTCTCCTGGATTCTTCCTATCAGTCATGTTCTAGAACCGGGAATTGCAAATGCCTATAGGGGCTGGATTGGCAAATTAAGTAAGAAAAGTGGACTGATTAGGACATGTCAACCTGAAAAGTTGATTCCTTGTTTGAAGGATGTATGTCTTACCCACTGCAGCCTAGAGGAAACTCAGACTCGGTATTGTCAGACTTCGGCTTTACAAGAGAACTGGAAAATTGGATTCTCTTTGCCAGCCCATTTCCTTCCAGCTTCTACTATCTGTTGCCCATTTCTTAAATAAGCTCCTAAAAAGAACTGTCTACATTTCATCTCCCATTCATTCTTGGATACTCTCCAGTCTCATTCCTGTTCCTACTACTTCATAAAATCTGCGCTGTCTGCAGTACCTCTTTGTGATTAAATCCAGGGGACACATCTTGCTCTCATCACACTTCTGACTTCTCAGCACTATTTGGTGTAGGTAGCACCATGTTAGTTGAAGAAGTCTTGGCCTCTTTGACACTTCGGGTTCACAGTTTGCTTCCAGCTTCTCAGACTCCCTGCTGGCTGTTTTTCTCTTGGGGTCATTAGGGCCAATTGCTCTGCATTCTCTGCCTAGGTATGTACAGTAACAGGTAATATTTTATTCTCAGAATTGTAAATGTCTGCTCTGTAACACCTCCCTCTTACATGCCAGCCTGAATCACTACAGACCTATTTGCTGAATATCTGTTTAGATATTTTATAGACTTTGCAAGTTTCTTAACCAAGAGAAGACCTGTTTTTTAAGGTAGTGCTGCTTTACACTGAGCTATATCCTCAGCCCGTAGCCTTTCTTCTTTTCTGAGGTAGAGTTTCACTCAGTTGCCCAGGCTGGCCTAGACCTTGGAGTACTCCTGCCTCAGCCCCCTGAGTCACTGAGGTCACAGGTATGGCCACCACACCCAGCTGCCATAAACCTTTAAGTTATCCTCAACAACTTTATTTAAACCCTGTCTTCTGCACTACTACTAAGTCATGTTGATTCTATCTACAGAAGAAGTCGATTCTGACTATTTCCAGTTTACTTCAGGAAAGGGCTGAGGACACTCCTGGGTTCAATCCCCAGTACCTCTGCCCATAAAAAGTCTAAAATTGTTACCACAAGGCCCGAGATGTTCCACGGCTGTCCTCCCCTGCAGCTCATCTCCTAACCCCACCAGGCCCTGCATTTCAGCCACGCTTGTCTTATTAAATCCTTAAATACCCCTTATTTTTTTTTCTTCCACTCCCTGGAGTGCTCTCCTCCGCTTTACCTGGCTGACTCCTCTTTTCTGTTCTTAAATGTCAGTTCCTCAGAGAATCCTTCCCAGATCCTCGAATCATTTTATAGCATTGCATCCTTTACTTTCCCTTCATGAAAGTGCACTTCAAACTGCGTCTATGTGGGTGACTCCCAAGTCCCTGTTGGTGGCTCATGTGGCCTTCAACGGTGTATCAGATTCTGCTGTCTGTTGAATGTCCCTCAGTGCTTCAAAATCATCATATTCCACACTGAACAATTTTCTCCTAAAATCTGTTTCTGCATCTGTGCTCCTTGTCTCTGGGAAAGGCATAGCCCCCAAGTTGTCCCGAGAACCTCTGGTCACATAGACTCATGTTAATTTTTCAGTGAGGCATGGCTGTCCTCTTTCCAACCTGAAAATCACTCTGAAATGTATGCTGAAGACTCCAGATGGACAGCTTAGGAGTGCTGAGGCTCATTCTCTGATGACTGTCCTAGTCCAAGGAGTCTTGATGTTTCTTCAGACAAGTGGAGGAAAAAAATTAAGTGAAGAATTTCTAGCTAAGCTAGCATAACAAAGCAGATTTATGCCATAAACTAGCTGATGTTTCACTGCCAAGACTTTTTCCACAAAAGATTGTGTTCAGCCTACATGTTCCTGAAAATCGGCTTCCTCATTATGATGTCATCCATTACAGGGGGTTCTCTTATACTTTCTCTTAGGTGGTTCGAGGACATTACAAAGGTCAGCAAATCGGCAAGGTAGTCCAGGTGTACAGAAAGAAGTATGTCATCTACATTGAGCGGGTGCAGCGTGAGAAGGCTAATGGCACAACCGTCCACGTGGGCATCCATCCAAGCAAGGTATGTCCCTGACTGAGTGGGGGTGACAGCCATTTAGTGTAGTGTTGCCATTAGTTATTGACATGTTGGTGCTCTCTGCACCACTCTCAGGTCGGTGAGGTAAGGGCTTAGAGGCAGGCTGCTAGGCAGCTTGTTTGGTTCATTGGCTTAATACTGTCCAAATCCAGACTCTAGCCAGGCATGGTGGCACACACCTGTGATCCCAATGACTTGGGAGGCTGAGGCAGGAAGATCCAGAGTTGAAGGTCAGCCTGGGCAACTTAATGAGACCTTGTCTCAAAATAAAATAAAGTAGGGGCTGGGATTGTGGCTCAGTGGTAAAGCGCTTGCCTAGCAGGGTGGGACCTGGGTTCGATCCTCAGCAACACATAAAAATAAAGGCATTGTGTTGTGTTCATCTACACACACAAAAAAAATATATTAAAAAAATAAAATAAAATAAGGTAGATAGGGCTGGAGCCATAGCTCAGTTGGTAGAGTGCTTGTCTTGCATGCACAAGGCTCTGGGTTCAATCCTCAGCACCACATACACATGCACAAAAAAGATAAGTCTGGGAACTAGCTCAGTGACAGAGCACCCCTGGGTTCAGCACCCCTGAGTATGCCCCCCAAAAAAGAGTCTGGATTTTTGTCTGTTTTGCCATCCTAGCTGGTGACAAGAAGGCACCGGTGCTCAGAGTGGAACATCTCCCTGGCCTTCATGCCCACTCAGCAGGACACCTGTGTTCTGCTTTTTACTCTCGTCCTGTATTGTATTACAGGATCTGTCTTTCCTTCCTGAGTTTCAGGTCCTTGAGGACAGGATGGTTAGGGGCTTGCTTATCCTTATGACCTCTGTATTGCCCAGTAGCTGTGTGCAATGCAGATTTTTTAAAAGCAATGCATCTTGCCAGCTAATGGAAATAGTGAACAAAATTTCCCAACCAAAGGACATGTCACTCAACTATGTAAGTGACCTCCTGAGATCCTCAGGAATTAGGAGGTGGAAGGCTGGCAAGCACAAGGAACCTGAGTTGCTGTTTATTGTCCAGGGAACCTCTACTGTTCAGGGTGATGGTGGTTAACTATGGTGTTGTGTGAGGTGGTGCATGCTTATGATCCCAGCCACTCAGGAGGTTGAGGCAGGAGGATCACAATTTAGCAAGTCTATATCTCAAAATCATATTTAAAAAGGGTGGGGGATGTAATCAATGGTGGACCACAGAACCACCTTGTGCAAGTATAAGCAAAAATAACCAAGACGGGAGCAGATCTCAACGAATCAGCACCTAGTCTTTATTAAGTAGTGGTGGAATGGCGCATTTTCAGGGGAGAACATGGCAACTGGTACAAGAGGGGTCTTTTTTATAGGTTTTAATGAGAATCATAGCAGAATGTTTAGTGTGACTTAATCATTAGAGACTTGGGCAGTCAGGAAACTAGTTGTGCAGGTTCAAAGTCTAAATCAGGAAAGTAGCTGTGAAAGCTGGAAACCCATTGTTATTGAGATGAAGGTCCAGAACCCATCCTTTTTCCCTGGGGGTTATTACTCCATATCCTTCAGCAAGGCTCTGGGGTCGGTCCTAATACTATAAAATAAATAAAACTAAAAAAAGATGTTTGTTTTTCCTGACAGGTAGTTATCACCAGGCTAAAATTGGACAAAGATAGAAAAAAAATTCTTGAACGCAAAGCCAAGTCTCGGCAAGTTGGAAAAGAGAAAGGCAAATACAAAGAAGAGCTCATTGAGAAGATGCAGGAGTGAAGATGGCCTGTCATGCAACCACAGTTGAACTGGAAATGTCTGGCATGTGCTTCTTTGGAACTTTTTGGGGTCTCTGGAATGTTCCATTGCCCTCCTGTTTTGTTATAAATCTGTGGCTCTGTAAATCTGCTTTGCAATTTTGATTAATAATTTTTTGAATAAAAATTGGAACTGTTTCCTAAACTCAAGGATATTTTCTTCATGTTATAAATGAAATCCATCTCACCAGTTCCCTTTCGCCAGCCTTTCATATGTTTGATCTGCAGTGGTGGGTTAAGACAGCCCTCCCTGCCTGTTTTCTCATGCTGCTGAGTGGGAAGGGCCAGGTAGGGCGCTGGTCCCAGAGGCAGGAGTTTGGCCCTCATTAGCAGCTGGGACACCAACAGGCTCTCTTATGGCTTGACCAAGCTCTGGGTACTGCTTTGTAGCCATGTCTCAGGCCTGCTGATCCCTATTTCCCTGCTTCCTCCATCATGCACCTGCCAAACCAGACCTCTCACAGCTTTGGTCCCTTCCCAAATATCTTTTCCATTGAACTGAAAGGCCCCTTACTCAGAAAACTAGCCACCTGTGAGTAAGACTTGGCTCATTTCATTTGTCCCTATATTTTTATAGTTTTTATATTTTCCAACTTTTAAAATCCTAGAGACTCCACAGAACCACATGACTGACCCGGCTGCATAGAGCCCTGTACTGCATTGGTTGAGGCAGTGGGGCTGAGGAGCTGACCCCTCCCTCAATTGTGGTCTTAACTTGCCTGTCCCCCACCCCCATCTGAGATTTAGCCCCAAATCCATCTAAAATTCCCCCCAACACCTCTGAAGAATAATTGTTTAAAGTGCATCAAATTGTGTGTATGTGTTGCTGGGATCAAACCCAGGGCCTTGTGCCTGCTCTGCAAACACTGCCCCTAACCTCCACTTCTAGCCATTTTTGTGGTCCTCTGTTCCCTATTTATCTCAGAAGTTAGAAATGCTTATCTTTTAAAGTTGTGGAAATTGAATATATATATATATATATATTCAGACTGGCCTGATTTTGAGTCACCTGGGTGCTTGCTAACATCAGTCCTATTCTCTTGCCTAGAGATTCCATATTGCAGTAGATCTTTAGAGATTTGTGCATATGTGTCTCATATGGACTTTGTGTCATGACCACATTTGGAAAATTGGGATGCATGGAAATCATAACACAACTCATAAATAGTAGCTGCCCATCATATACAGTGGTACTAATGTTTACACAATAACTGTAATCATTCACATGCTGTTATGGTTTGAATGTGAAAGCTCACATGTGAGACAAGCAAGAAGGTTGGGAGATGATTGGGTCATATCCTTGACCTAATCTGTGAATTAATCTATGATGGGATTAACTGGTACCTGGAGGCAGGTGGGGTGTGGCTGGAGGAAGTAGTTCATTGAGGTCATGGCTTTGGGGTATATATTTTGTATTCATTGGGGGCATGGCTTTTGTATTTGGAGAGTGCAAGACTCTCTGCCTTCTGATCACCATGTGAGCTGCTTCCTTCTGCCACACTGTCCCACCATGATGCTCAGCCTCGCATCGAGCCCTGAGGAATGGAGCTGGGCTTCTATGGACTAAGACCTCTGAAACCATGAGCCCCCAAATAAACATTTCCTCCTCTAAAATTGTTCTGGTCATGTCCTTTAGTTACAGCAGCGAAAAAGCTGATTAAAGCAGAAAGCAAGGTGTTGCTGTGCCTAACCTGACTGTTAAACCATGACGCAAAGAAAAGACCTCCAACTCCAATTCTAAATCAAATTAAAGCAAGCTTGTAATTCCTACTAGCCGGGACTGTCCCTCTCCCGAAATCTGGGGGATAGAAGACAGTACTGCAGCTCTCTAGGAGTGCAGCTTTATAGCAGAGGGCGTGTCTTGAGAACTTAGAGATAACAGACTTTTGACAAGCATAATACAAAGGCAGGTGGTAGGTTAATGGTCTAAATGGTTCAGCACTTGGGGAGTAAATTTAGATCCCAGCATCAGAATGTATGAGGCGCCATTAGGGTTTCAGAGAGGGTTGTTATCTGGTCAGGGAAAACTAGGCATGGGTGAGTTCAAGGCATGGGCAGGCATTCCAAGTAAGTTTAAAACATCAAAATAACAGCCAAGCCAAATAGAAATCCTAATATTTTACAGAAAACAGAAGTGAATCATGTATAACTTTTGACAAGATAGCTCCTGATCTTAAGAGGGAATTAGGCTGGGTTTATCACTGACCATGTGGTTCAGAAGCTTTTTGAGCTTTTTGGAATTGTTAGGAGGAATTTTGAGATGTTTAGCAGAGCAAGCTGGAAATGTTTTGTGTTATCCTAAGTGGAGCTTAATGGCCAGTTCTGAAGGGAGCTCAGAAGACCAGAATGCCAATATGATCATGGACAGTGAAGACAGGGCTCAAGAGGGTTTAGAGGAAAAAGAGGACTGTTGGTAATTGGACTAGAGGCCATTCCTGTACATTCTGGCTGAAAGTTGTCTATATTTTGCCTGTGTCCTAAGACTTTGTGTGAGGCTGATTTTATTTTAGAATATTTTTTAGTTGTCAATGGACCTTTATTTTATTTATTTATATGCAGTACTAAGAATTGAACCTGTGCCTCATACATGCTAGGCAAGAGCTCTACCTATCTGAGCCACTACCCCACCCGAAGGCTGATTTTAAAAGCGATGGACTTATATGATATATCAAGAACCATGTAATGTTTTGAACAACCAACAATAAAAAATTAAAAAATAAATAAATAAATAAAAGCGATGGACTTTTTTTTTAAGAGAATTTTTTTTAATATTTATTTTTCAGTTTTTTTCGGTGGACACAACATCTTTATTTTTATTTTATGTGGTCTGAGGATTGAACCCAGTGCCCTGCGCATGCCAGATGAGCGCGTTACCACTTAAACCACATCCCCAGCCCACAATGGACTTCTTTATCTGGCAGAAGAACTTTCTAGGTAGCAAGGATATTGCTGGCAGCTTTTAGCCAAATTTATTGTGATAAATTGGAACAGAAAGATTTAGAAAACGTGTACTTGAAAGGCCAGAGTAAAACTAGGGCTAAATTGCAATTGTTAAAGACATTACTGCCACTGCAGAAATGCTAAAGACTTTGCCCAGAGACTAAGATAGTTTGAGGGCATCTAAGAAGCTGGCAAGACCACACCCATCTCAAGCTCTTTGGAGAAAAAGTAAAAATTCTCTTGAGAAGAGATCTATGGGGCACCCTTCATGCACAAGAGGGCTTAGGAAGTTTTTCAACATGCTTGATAAACCCAGCCTAATTCCCTCTTAAGATTGGGAGCCATCTTGTCACAAAGGCATGAAAAGTTAATTTCGGCTTTACTGTGTGATAGTAAAAGCAAATGTGACTCCATTTTGTTTTGTAACTTCATTCTGTAAAATAACCATGCCAAGTAGAAGGGTTATGACTGGGGCAAGATGTTATTTTCCTTTTGCTATAGAAACCTTTAAGAACAAGGAACTACCTAAGGGGCATTGTTTTTGTAACTAGGGTAACGGGGCTCTGTTTCTGTAACTGGGGTGACTGGGCTAACTGTGATTGGTTAGGCTTCCCTTTGCTTGACTGCACTGTCCTGCTTCTGTAACCTGGCTTGCTTGCATTGGTTAGACCCCCCGAACATCCCTTTTGTGGTTTCAGGCTTATAAGGAGTGCTCTTGCTATTGTTCGGGGCTGATTAGGGGAACAGCTTTATGTTGTGGTCAGTCGCCACCGGTGTGCTTTAATAAAGGCTTGATTTGATTATATGTGAGTGGTCTGGAAGTCAATATATGAAACCCTGGGACGAAGCTTTAACTATAGCATCTGGGGGCTCGTCCAGGATCCATTTCTTCCTACCCTCATGCCAAATTTGATTATATGGGAGTGGTCTGGAAGTCAATTTATGAAACCCCAGGACGAAGTTTTAACTATAACAACTATAAATTACTGAGATTTCTAAACTTGCTTGGAATGCCTGCCCATGCCTTGAACTCACCCATGCCTGGCTTTCTCTGACCAGATAACAACCCTCTCTGAAACTTTAGTGGCGCCTCATAAATTCTGATGCTGGGATCTAAATTTACTTCCTAAGTGCTGGACCATTTAGACTATTAACCTACTACCCGCCTTTGTGTTATGCTTGTCAAAATCCTGTTATCTGTAAGTTCTCAAGACACCCCCCTGCTTTTTGCAAACTTTCTGTGCTATAAAGCTGAGCTTCTAGAGAGCTGCGGGGCTGTCTTCTATTCCCATGGGTTTCGGAAGAGACAGCCCCGGCCGGTCGGAATTACAAGCTTGCTTTAACTTGATTTATATTGGAGTCAGTGGTCTCTTCTTTGCGTCCTGGTTTAACAATGCACAGCCACCCAGGTACTCAGAGACTTCTGCAGCCAAAATCCCTGGAGGCTTGGCTACTGCTCAAGATGGCAGCAGACCTTGGTGTCAACCATGTGGGGTTGGTTCTGCAGGAATGCAGGTTGCTGGAGTTAGGGGGTCATGGAGGCTTCCACCAAGATTTCAAAGGAAGGCCTGGGAGGCCAGGCAGAGTGCAGCAGGGTCGGAGTCCCTGCGGGCGGCCCACGGGAGGGAAAAGTGTGGAGATGTGAGGAGGAAGCCGAAGCTGCAGCGGAGACCCCTGAGATGAAGAAATTCCAGTAACACGGGACATCATCCTAGGGAACTGCTCATGCAGGAACTGAGCAGAGACAAGCCAACAGAAAGGCCACTTGGGCCACAGGGGCAGAGCTACACAAGCCCTTTGGAGAGAACATCACGATGCCCTGTCCCCAGACACTGGACACAGAACTGTAGGACTTGTTTGCCCAACTGGATTTCAGTCTTGAAGAAGGCACTCCATGCCTTCTTCTATGCCCCTGTTTTTGCAATTGGAAATGTTAACTCAGTACCTTTATATATTGGATATTTGTAAATTGCTTTTAATTTTACAGGAGTTTACATTGTGTGATTGCCTTGAACTCAGAGAAGACTTTGGACTTGAACTTTAAGCAATCTTGGAACAGTTGAGACTCTTGGGACTCTTGGGAATGGACTAAATATGTTTTGCATTGTCAGATGATTGTGAGCTTCTGGGGGCCAGGAAGGGAATGTTATGGTTTGGATGTGAGGTATCCCCCCAAAGCTCACATATGAGACAAAGCAAGAAGATTTAGA